GCTGAGCCTGCTCCAGGGCAGACGTGACCCGTGAACGCCACACCCCACCTGGCGCTAACCTGAACGGCTGCTTCTCCGTCTGCGTGGGGTCCTAAAACTCGACCAGAGCATGGATGCCAGGGCCCATCTTGATGATGATGATGATGATGACGATGATGATGATGATGATGATGATGATGATGATGACGATGATGATGATGATGACAATGATGATGATGATGACAGTGACAATGATGATGACGTAGACCCTGAGCTGCTCTGTGGCGGTCTACCCTTACGTCCACTCTTTATGCCACCCTGATTGTCTCAGATTCCACCCACCCAACAAAGCACAGGCTTCGCCCTCCCAAGTCCCAGGGGTTCCCACAGCCGACCTTCCCCTTTTCCCTACTTATTCTTCTCTTTTAAAGCCGGAAGGCTGCGGACCCTGGGCCGCACAAGGAGTGAGAACAGTTTAGACGCACCCTCCTTCCCGTTAGCAAAGTCCCTGGCTCTGTATCTGTAAATGTAATTGGCGGGGGGCGAGGGGGTCTTTTCGTCTGGACTCATGGAGACCGCAAATTCCGGGAGGAGGGCAGGCCTCAGCGCCGCTGCGTCTGCACGTTTGATATGCAGCGCACAGTAGGAGCTTGCGTCCCACACACGGCGCACAGTAGGAGCTTGCCTCGTCTTTGGGAAACAGACTGTCGTTAGATCTGCGGGGACGGGGGGGGGGGGGGGGGGGGGCGGATGAGTGGTCCGGCTGTTTCTGGTGAGTTCTAGCCGGTCCACCCCTCCATCCAGCCACATCTTCACCTCCAGGAGCAAGCAGAGAAAGGTCTCCCAGCCCGTGGGGCGGTGGGGAAGCCATCTTGCCCCCGTGGATGCTCGGGTCCCGTGGCCTCCCCCCCGGTTGGTGAAGCCGTCTGTGATACAGGGTGCTCATCCTGGCCTGGTGCCGGGCTGGAGCACAGCGTCCCTAGGCTGGGACACAGGCTGGGCTCATTGACAGCAGCCTAACTGCAAACACAGAGTCTTGCTCATGATGATAAATTGCCTGCTGAAGAGGTTTGCCGATGGAGATCCATCTCCACCCCCCCACCCGCCAAGTCCTCAGGGAGCAGACAGAGTGGGGGACCCAGGGGCTGGGCAGGGAATGGGGGGGTAAAGGGTTGTGGTTACATGGGGGGAGGGTGCTGACATATTGGATTTGTGGATTATACAACTGAAATCTTTTAATCCCTAAGTGAGCTCTGATTGATAGCCGGTGGCCATTGGGCAGATTTACACACACACACACACACACACACACACACGCTTAGGCAAACAGGAACGTGAACATCTCTCCCCACCAGCCCTGCAGAACAAGGCAGTTACCCACCCCCTGGTCCACAGCTCCATGTCCCCCATGTTTCAGGGACTGAGAGTCGGTGGATTTGGGGCAGTTGTGTATTTCTTTACGTTTTTAGAAGGGCGCCGTTGAGCCCGGCATTGGTGGCTCCTGCCTGTCATCCTAGCTACTCAGGAGGCTGAGATCTGAGGATGGTGGTTTGAAGCCGGCCGGGGGAAGGAAAGTCCCTGAGACTCTCATCTCCAATTGATCACAGAAAAAGCTGGAAGTGGCACCATGGCTCAAGTGGTAGAGCACTCGCCTTGAGCAAAAAAAAAAAAAAAATAGCTCAGGAACGGCGCCCAGGCCCAGAGTTCAAGCCCCAGGACCGGCAAAGTGAATAAATAAGACTGTAAAACATCAGAGGGAGCCGTGACTGGTTTGGATGCGTGGGGTGGAGGAAGAGTGGTAGGAAGGCGTGAACACCCATCGGGGCCAGCTGGAGCCGGTCTCATTGTCTCTTCCTCGGCGCACCGGCTCCCTGGGTGACCTCTGCTCCCTGGGGTGGCCTGCCTGTGGCTCTTTGTTTGAGAGTGATGTTTTCATCTGCCGGGGATGGGATGGTGCCCAGCTGCCCTCCCCCAGCTGCTGGGCGTGCAGGGGGATGGGGGCGCGACGCTGCCTTCATCCCAGCAGTGTGCGGAGGTCACCAAGACCCAAAGCTAACATCTCACAACTGGGGACGTCTTTATCAGTCTATCTTTGGCGGATGCCGGCTCCTCTCGGATGGTCTTAAACCGAGAGCCGTCGGCAGCAGGGCTACAAAGCCCGCGCCCTCAGAGATGAGCTCTCCCCGGGGGTTTCCTGGGCCAAGGTCGAGACTTTCCCCGCCTGTACCTCGTTCCCCTTCCTCCTCCTGGGGTCCTCCCTTGCTGGCCCTGCTGGGAGGACTTCATGCATCAGCCGCTCAGCCTCGGGGTCCTTGGGCTCCCCGTCTGCTTCCGGGACACCCCCAGTGGGGTCAGACCGTACTCCCGAATTAACCCCCTGCTCCCGCCCCGTCCAGAGCCACCGGGGGATGGAGTCCAGGAGCCGCCCCGCAGGTGACCCGTGGGGGGACCTCAGCACCGCCTCTGACAGGGAAGATCGCGTGTCACGCTGGCGTGTTGGGTTCTCTGCCTAGCGTGAGCGAGCTTGGGGCCCGGGCCGATGTGAACGGGCATTTTCAGCCAGGGGAACGTGGGCGTCTGCCCAGAGCCTCTCCCCCGAAGTCAGATCAACCCCCACATGTCCTGCGTGGCGTCCCCTGGTCTCCCCGCATCTGATGAGGCCGGTGGGGTCCACGCCGTCACTGCAGAGAGACGGGGAGGCTGAGGCTGTAAGGGATTCCCGCGGCTCCTGAATCGCTCTACCCCCTTCACAGATGAGACTTCCACACACACACACACACACACCCAAGTTTCTGGAAGCTTCCAAATCCCACCTGGGATCAGCCAGGCCACCAGTAGCTCACACTTGCAATCCTAGCTACTCAAGATCTGAGGATCACAGGTCAGGGCCAGCCAGGGCAGGAAAGTCCGTGAGACTCTTATCTCCAAGTAAGCGCCTAAAATGTCTGAAGTGGTTCATGTGGTAGAGGGCCAGTCTTGAACCAAAAAGCTCAGGGACAGCTCCTGGGCCCTGAGTTCAAGCCCCAGGACTGGCACACGCACACACACACAGGAATCACTGCAGAGTCTCTCCAGGAGCCGCACAACCTCTCCGTCCATTTATCATCTGCTGGCAGGCAGATGAAGCAATCATAAATTTGCAAAGAAAGTTAATCTGTGTCCAAAGCATTTTAGTAAATTAAAAAGGTTGGGGGACGGGCGGGCAGGAAGGGGTACGCATCCGTTCCTGCCAGCTCCCGTTTGACTTACTGTCTCCTTAATAAGTCCGCTTTGCTCCTGTGTTTGGGGACGGAATAATCGGGCGGTTAATCATTTTCCGGAAGCTGAGAGATGCACTTTCGCTAATGCACTTCTCTTTTCGCTTTACGGCCCTAATTATTTAGAAAGTTCTCCTAACCCGGAGCCCCGTTCCCCAGCCAAGACGCCGCTCCAGCCGCCAGCTCATCCCTCCCGGCCCCGGAACCCGACGCGCCCTGCACCCCCAAAACTACCCCAGCCCCTTGCTTCTCTTTCTGGTCACAACTGCTTTCTCCGGGTGGTCTTTGGGGGTGTTTCTGGGGATCCGGGGCTCCTTCCCAGCCCCTCATAAAGCTGACGGTTCTGAGTCTCCCTCCCGCTTCTTCTCATCCACCACCATTTGATTCCAGAGCTTATCTGCCCGAGCTGCCAAAGATAACATCGCAGCCCGGCCCAGCTGGGGCTGTGGGACAGGGGCTGGGGGCCGGCCCTTTCTCCGGAGGCCAGTGGAGCGCAGCCCCGTGGCCCCAAGACCCGGCCTGACCCTGATGTCACGGTGGGCTCTGTTCACAGCTCAACTCCGGGTGGGATCCAGGCTCATTGAATCAGGCCACTCACTCACCCAGGCTTCAGACAGGGGGACCTAGATTTGGGTGGGGTGCACCCGGTTATTCAGACCCAGAAACCCCAGGACTCACAGCATCTGCCCCAAGCTAACACGGCGTGGGGGGGGTGCCTATGGGTGCTGAGGCCAGGCTTGAACTCAGGGCCTGGGCACTGCCCCCGAGCTGCTTTTGCTGAAGGCTAGGCTCTGACACTTGGGCCACAGCGCCACTTCTGGGGTTTTTTTTGTGGTTGATTGGAGACAAGAGCCTCTCAGACTTTCCTGCCCGGGCTGGCTTTGACCTGCGATCCTCAGATCTCAGCCTCCTGATTAGCTGGGATGGCAGGTGTTTTGCACACACACACACACACACACACACACACATATTCATTGTATCTCCAGTGCCGGTGTGCTGGCAGGGGCTTGGTTCTTCTCTCTTGGTGCCTGTGTTTTCTGAGTGTTTTTAAGAAGCCCACCGCAGGCATGTGGAGGTGTGTATTGATGTGTAACGGATGTGTGTGCGGTGTACACGCCACGCTCTCCTCACGCGTGTTCCCCTCGTGCTGCTGGGTGACCTCTCTCCCAGCCGCAGCTGCGCAGACCCTGCTCGAGGCTGCTCCCGGGGTCTCCAGGGTACACGGGGGCTTCTGGGGGGGCCGGGGTCTCAGCCCACTGAGGGCAGTGAGTTCCGGCTGGCTGTGTGTGCTGTCCCTGAAAGCAAGGCCACGAAGCTGCCTGGCTCTGGGGAGAGCGAGGGAGGACGGGGGGAGGGCGGGCAGACGTGGCTTGGGCCGGCTGTGGCCCCCTCGGTCCCTTCCCTCCCTCAGAGCAATACTGGGGTGCCTGCAGGGCGGGGGGCCCGGGGTCTTCCCCGGAGGTGGCAGGACCCCGAGAAGCAGGTACAGTGTATGTGACAATAACCCAGAGCTTGACCGGAGGCCGGGGGGCGAGGGGCCCCAGCGTGCGGGCTCCCGGGGCTCCCGGCGGGCGGCCGCTCCCGCCTGGTGACCCGTGCAGCCCAGGGGTCAGAGGAGCCGCGCGAGGGCTCCTCGCAGCGCGTGCACACACACACACGCACACACACACACACACACACACACACACAGGGGTTTTGTTATCTTAATGAGATGCAAGAGTACTGCGGGTCTAACCGCCTCTCCTCTCCTCTTCTTCCCTCCAGAGACCTGAGCGAGAACCAGATCCAGGGCATTCCCCGGAAGGCGTTCAGGGGCATCGCGGACGTGAAGAACCTGTGAGTGCGGGCTGCCCCGGCCGGGGGCGTGGGGGAGTGACGGGGGGCGGGGGGGAGTGCAGGGCGGCTGCCCGGAGCCCCGCTTCTCCAGGCGGTCAGTCCTAGGCCAAGGCCCGACACAGAGGCCGCAGGGTGGGGGGCTGGAGGGGTCGGGCGCCGGGAAGAAAGCGAGGGCTGATGGGTCGCAAGACCTGAATGAGGTAGAGCCTGGGCGAAGATGGTGGAAGTGATGATGGTGATGGTGGTGATGGTGGTGACGATGATGTCACTATCATAAACATGTCCAGCCCCCCCCCCTGGAGAACCCTGGGGCCTGTGCTCCAGAAATGCAGCCGGACCCCGACTTCCATGACTGAAGACGGGTTGGTTCTTTACTTTTTATTTTAAGTCACTGTTGATCGGCAGGACACACACACACACACACACACACACACACGTGCGCGCGCACACACACACACACACCCCCCAGGACGCCAGGCCAGGACCTTGGTCCTTATCTCTGAGACCCAAGCTGTGTGTGCCCTCATAACGTGTGTGTGTGTGTGTGCACACATGTGAGGACAGACAGACAGACAGACAGAGACACTGACAGAAGCAGGAGACAGAGACAGCCCAGAAAGGAAGCGGGGAAAGCGATGACAGGGACGCAGAATGGACACAAGCACAAAGCCGGGGTGGGTTGTTTTGAGAGGCCGCGTCCGGCGCCCCGAGGTCTCTGCCGCCCCGCAGGGGTCCGCAGGACGGGGCCCGCAGGACGGGCACTCCAGGAGGCTCAGGCAGTGGCCCTGTGGCCGGCCCCATTGGGAATTCACAGTCTGAAAACAAAGCCGGGCGGGAGGCCTTTGGTTCCCTGTGAGTCCACCCGGCGGCCTGGCCCGGGGTCAGCCCTCCACATCCCCAGGTGAAGGAAGGCTGTGTCCGACCCCAGGAGCAGGCAGTGGGGAGAGGGGGGGCAGGGAGGGCCAGGCCCACCCATCTGTCCAGAGCAGCTCGCTAATCTTGGTCACTGCAGCTCCAGAGGTGTCCACTCTCCTGGTCAGCACACGTGTGTGTGCGCGCACACACATGCACACGGCCCTGTACAATCCAAGGTGCTTTCTGGCTCTGCTCATGCTTCCTGTGCATACGTTCATTCCGAGTATCTTCCTGCCCCAGGACCTTTGCACGACCTGCTCTGCCTGCAGGGCTGTCCTCCTCTCTCAGATTCCCTTCCCATCTCCGCTCAGAGCTGCCTTCTCTGCCCCTCGGAGGCGGTGCCTGGGTTGGGCAGCCATGGTGCTCCGAATTCTGTCTGTCCGTGCCCCGGCCAGAGGCTGTGTGGTGACTCAGGCTAGACTCTCAGCAGACAGGGGCTGTCAGAGAGACCCTCACGGGTCTGGGTTTGGGCCTGGAGAGCCTCAGATAGCTGGAGAGTGGGAGAGGGTGGGGAAGAGACGGGTGGAGCGCATTACCCCAGCTCAAACCCCTGGCACTGGTGTGGCAGGTTCTCGCTGGGACCCAGAAGTCGGGCCTCAGTTTTGCTTTGTTGCTGTATTCAGTTCTGTGTCTGCTGGAGCTGTTAAGAGTCAAAATGCTCCGCGTGGCCGCTGGGTGACTTAGGGCGGGTTTCTTAACCTCTCTGAGCTTTCCTCCCCAACGGGATGAACCACTGGGAAGGAATCTGGGGTGTGGGCACACCTTGTGTCAGCATGATGCTCTGTGGTTTGGGGGGGAGCCCCCCCTCGAGCTGCCTTCACAGACAGCTGATATCCCCCAGGTAGAGAGGGGGACGTGGAGGCTGGGGGACAGGCGGGAGCTAGGCCAGGGCTGGGTGAGCGGGGGGGGGGGCGGCCTGCACCCCTCACGGAGCCGCACACACGGCGTCCACCTCCGGGCAGCGGGACTGGGCCGGGACCTCCGAGGGTGGCCCCGGCGTGGCTCGGGGCTCCGCCAGCCGCGTGCCCTCTGTGGGGCCGCTGTGGGGGCACACAGGAGACAGAAAACACGGGGGACCCGCGCGGGACACAGCCGCCGTGGGTGCGTCCTGATGATTGCTGACCCACTGTGTGTACACGCGTGTGTGTGCGCGTGCCGGGCTTGCACTCAGGGCACATGCACGTGTGAACACGCATGCACTGACACGCAGGGGAGCCTCCTTCCTTCCCTCTGGGGGGAGGGGGCGTGTGTTTAATGATGGGGATGCGGGGACCGGGCCGGGCCTGTCCTCTGCCCGGTCAGCACTCAGGCCCTGGGGCGGCTCAGGCTGCCACGGTGGACGGATGGACGGAAGGACGGGGGGAGGGGGGGAGGGAGCCTTCCCGGGGGAAGGGGCGGCGACGAGGACCCCCGCTCCCGCCTGGCTGTCCTCCTCCCCCGCAGGGCCGCTCCCCGTGCCCCCGCCCGCCCTGGGCTGCTCGGCCCAGCCTGGGATCACCAAGCCCCCCCTCACCCGGCCCTCCATCTCCATCTCTGTCTGTCTCTCTGTCTGTCCCTGTCTCTGTCTCTCTCTGTCTCTGTCTCCATCTGTCTCCTCTGTCTCTGTCTCTGTCTCTGTCTCCATCTGTCTCTGTCTCTCTCTCTCTCTCTCTCTCTGTTTCAGTCTCCGTCTCCATCTCTCTCCTCTCCTGGAACGTGTCCTTTTGCTTCTAAGACCCTTCTGGCTCTGCTCACGCCCACTGGAAGGCTCTATCCCTTTCCATTCCTTCATTAAATCACTGCACTCGGACTCGCTCACACTCTCTCCTGTGTCTCTTTCTCTCTTTTTCTTTTAGTGGTAGTACTAGACTTCCAACTCACGTGCTCTAGCCACACGCCTATCCTTTCTCTGTGTGTGTGTGTGTGTGTGTGTGTGTATGTGTGTGTGTGCGCGCGCACCCGCACGCCAGTCCTGGGGCTTGAACTCAGGGCCTGTCCCTGAGCTCTTTGGCTCAAGACTAGCGCTCTACCACTTGAGCCACGACGGCTCCACTTCCAGCTTTGTCATGGTCCCTTGGAGACAGGAGTTTGACAGATGTTCCTGCCCGGGGCTGGCTTTGAACCGCGATCCTCAGACCTCAGTCTCCTGAGCAGCTGGGATGACAGGCGTGAGCCCCGGCGCCCGGCCTCCCCGCCCATCTAGCTGTGGTTAGGTTTCAGGGCCCGCCCGTCCTCTGCGGCCAGCGGGGCCGGAACTGCCCTGCCCCTCCACAGTGCTCCGCGCTGCAGGTACGGCTGAGTACCGCTGCGTGTACAACCCGGCCAGGGGCAGCGCTGCTGAGGACACGTAAAAAAGAACCCACACCCACGTTCACGGGCCCCCCGCTCTGTGGGATCCCCGACAGGCGCCCGCCCGGGCCCTGACCAACTGGGGACCTAGGCACCGTAGCCAGCTCTGGGAGTCACTGGGACAAGCCATGGCCCCACGGGGACCCCAAGAGCTGCAGCATGGCGGTGGCGGCAGCGAGGCTGGGAAAGAACCGGAAGACGGGAGGCAGGGACCGGCCCCCACCGCCATCTTCCCCGCCCACCCTGCCCCAAGCTCCAGAGAGCCCAGGCCGCCCGCACACACGCCTTTCTGTCTCTCTGTCTCTCCTGTCTCTGTGTTTCTGTCTCTCTCTGTCTCTCTGTTGCTCTCCATCTTTCTTTGTCTCTCTGTTGCTCTGTCTCTTCCTCTTGCTCTCTCTCTATTCCTCTGTCTTCCCCTCTGTTGCTGTCTCTGTGTCTCTGTCTCTGTGTCTCTGTCTCTTGCTCTCTGTCTCTCTAGTTCTCTCTGTCTCTGTCTCTCTCTCCCCCTCCATCCCTGCCATCTCCAGTGCCCGTCAGCTCTCGAGCTGGGCAGACGCGGGGACAGCGCTCCGGCTCTTCCTTGAAGGGTCCGTGCGGGAACCCGCCCCTCCCGGCGCTCTGTCCAGCTCTGACTTGATTAACATGGAAAAGCTTGGGGCTTGGGAAGTAAACGTGAAATGGAAATCTCTTTCCGGAGGGCTTGGGCCTCGCGAAGCCCGGGTTTATGGATTCCCGGGGTTAATTTATGCCATCTTCGTCCCATACATTAATTTGGAATATATTTGTTGAAAATTTCCTGTAGCTTGCATTTATGGTTGTCAAAGGGGCTTTTATCTCGGGGTAAAAAAATGGTGCTGGTTTTAATTACAGTTCTAAATGGTTTCCTGGCCACCTTGAACTCTGGGGCTACATTATCTCTGTGACAGCCGGCCGCTCCCGCCGTATCGATTTTGTCATTTGCTCCATTAGGGTGGATGCAAACCTTTTGTACCGAGCCCGTTCCGGCCTGTTCTCTGGGGGAGGGGTAAGAGGGTCCCTGGAGTAAGTAGATGCCCCCCCCCGCCGTTCCTCTCTCCCTTTCCCTTGGCCCTTTGGGTGTCCAGCTTCTGCCTGCCATCCCCTGGCGCCCGGGAAGCTTTGTCTCCCGTCATCAATTCAGAGACACTGGGCCTCCCCGAAGAGACTCTGTCCCAGAAACAGTCTCCCTCTGTGTCTGTCTGTCTGTCTGTCTGTCTCGCTTTCTTCCTTCTCACTCACTCTGCCCAAATTCACGGGACACAGACTCAACTGTTTTTTTCTTCTCCGTGTGTGTGTGTGCATGTGTGTGTGTGTGTGTATGTGTGTGCGTGCGTGCGTGTGAGCATCCCCGCACCGTAGCTCAGACTCAGGGCCTCCAGCTCTTGCTTGGCTTTTTTGTTCAAGGCTGGCGCTGTGCCGCGTGAGCCACAGCCCTACTTCCGACCTTTTGACGGCTAATTAGAGATAAAGAGCCTCACAGACTTTCCTGTCCAGGCCGGCTTTGAACTGGCGTGTTGGGTAACTAGGATCGCAGGTGTGTGAGCCACGGGTGCTCAGCCATCTTGGGTTGTTTTTTTTCAATCAGAAAGGAAAAGGCGCGCCTCAGATTGATTACATGCTGAAAATACAGCAGCACCAGGCTCCGAACTCACCCCTTCAAGCCAGCGGGAACTGCAGCTGCCAGCCACCACCCACTGTCCCCTGGAGGTCCCTTGTCCAGGCCCCGCCTGCCCTAGACC